GTGGATGATTTCACTCCAAGCAAGAGAGAATAGGCATGATTACAGAAGGCAAAGACCGAGTAGGACCAAGCAGGGGTCCAGGCACCTCGAGCCTCGTCAACATCAAGAACGCCCAACATGAATGTGCTTATAGCTCGCCCTACAGCTATTGCTACCAAGTGTCTTATCATCTTTTGCAAGTCGAACTAATGCACAACCCAACTATTTCCGACGGTGCTCCACTTCGGTCATCTTCAGGGCTCTAGATCAATGCCACATGAGAGGCTATTCATGTTGAAGTAATGGCTTAGTCATCATTACAGAAGGCAAAGGCCGAGTAGAACCAAGCAGGGGTCCAGGCACCTCGAGACTCGTCAACATCAAGAACACAGACCCGTGTCTGACAATTCGTCTATCCCAAAGAATAGACTCATGTCATTTCAGTGGCCTAAGGAGGATGGCCAGGGCCAGTCAACGCTTGTAGCTCGCTGGGGTGAGTTGTGCCTCCTGTGCCCCGTGGTAATGGGGGAGCGTCAGGCTATAAGGAAGTTGCTTCTCAGGTCCTGCTCGGCCGATCGGGACACACCCAACAAAAGAATTCTCATTGAGAATCATCATAGCTGTTAGTCATGGCTGGATTACGATGCATATTGTTTTTTTTTTGTTTTTTTTTTCACTCAAAGACTCCCTCCGGTGCTAGTGGTGCTGGTAAAAGCAGACACCGCTAGCACCTGGGGAGAGGCTCCATCTATTGGTGGGGAGCATCACCTGCTGAAAAATGGGTTCAGCGTCCCTTGTACAGAATGACTCGGAAAACAGTTGATTTCACGATACTTCGAGAATCAATAGGCTTAAACTCTCCACATACCTGTCATAACAGAAGCTCGATAACCAATAATCATGACATAAAATCTACAATAACTTCCATAATAATCAATGATTACCTGGGGCGGGTCACCTATGGATATCTCTCGGTTTTTTTTTTCGTGGGAGCAGGCTGCCCTTTCAAAAAGAACAAAAGGGGAGGAAAGAAGAAAAAGACTCTTAAACCACCAGTACCTCGCTCAGCTATCGGCCGCGGGCACTCCCGTATACGCGCCGCAGCCCTAGGGGGGTCGGCCAAGGGAAGGCCCGGTCGCTGCGCGAAGGCCGGGCTCCGCTTCCCTAGGAACGACACACTTGAGAAAACAAAAAAAAAGAAAGAAGGGGAAAAAAAAAAACAAAGACACAAACGAAAAAAAAAACGAACGGACAAAAAGTTGAAGTCGCG